AGGATTCATTTCCAAGTTACTATGAGCCCTTTAATGACCAAACTTGCATGGATGATACATCTTAGGATGCATACTACCAGGCTTGCTTCGGATGCTGAATTTGACCTACATTTTGTGGATGAGTGAAAAGGTTAGTTTTTTATGCAGGTTTCATTTCCAATTAACTTTGAGCCCTATAATGAGCAAACTTGCATGGATGATACATCTTAGAATGCACACTGATGGACTTGCTTCGGATGCTGAAATCGACATACGTTTTTCAGATAATGGACCAGGTAAAAGTTATGGGTGCAGGTCTGTTACCAAAAAACTTGAAGGCTTATATAACATTGTATAAACAAAACTTGCACAAATGATGCATCAAGGGATGAAAACTCTCAAAGAACTATATGCGGTATATTGCATATGTTTGCCCCCACAAAAGTCAAATTTTGAAAACTTCCTGAAATGTGCTGAATTCAATAAATTGTATGAGAAATATAAGTTAACAGAAAATATTATAGTTCCAGAGCAGTGTATTCACAATTTCTGTTTTTATGACGTCACAAACTAGTCCGATTTTATATCCTTTTTCAGAAAGAGGACAAAATGGACAAAATTTCAACAATTTAAGCTTTAAAATTTATAGAGCGCATGTGTGTTCAGGAACAATATTGACATATTTCATTGATATTATCATTCTACACATTATATCAAAATATTTGTCCTGAACACACAGTGACTTTTATTTAAAATATCGACGAAATATGTACATTTTTCTGCAAAATTCATAAAAAACTGAAATTACGTCATATTTGTGACGTCATTACGTACATATGACGTCATTACTTATGAAATTATTCAGTGCTTTGAAGTCAGCATATACTCCCCTGTTTAAGGACTTAATTAAATATTACTCCCTCAAAGTTTGATTTTGGGGGGCAAATGTTGGTTAATACCGCATATAGTTCTTTGCTTCAGATGCTGGATATTAATTACATTTTCATGAAGAAGAACTACAGTGTTCCCCCGTTTTACCGCCAACATTTGTACCTCGGCAATTTTGGCGTTATATCGGGGTAGGCATTATAACGGGGGATGCAATGAGGCACATAGAAGCAGAAGAAATTGTCTCTTTCACTAGTAATTTTATTAAATTATTTATTTATTTATTTTGTTACAAGTTTACTTTTTTAATATTTATTGTAGATTGTTTTATTTTATTATTTAATAAAAACAAAAAGTTTTATATTTTTTTCTGATGCAAAGTTCTAGACGCCAAATATCAGATCACTAGACAAAACTTCTAGTCCACGTCTGGCGTCCTTGTATTCGATACCATATCTGCCATATTGAACGCTTCTTTAAATTGACCATATATACACATGGTATTTAGTTTTTCACACCTAGAAACTTGGATCCTATGTAACAACTCCAATTACTGTTTGTAAACACAGCATGGCTTGATCAGCTCGTGAATTTTACGCACCATAGACAACCGACAGGGATTAGCTACGCTCCATTGCACATGACACCTGTGAAATTGATATTATTTGTGAAGTTCAATACCTACGTCAATTTCATACACTTTTTAATCCATTGTGATTTGCTCCATAAAAAAATTCCTACTTATATGAGATTTTTACAGACAAAATCTGGAATATAAATAAGGTTGTAGAGTCAGATCAATAATACTTACCAAACAATGTGATGACCAATGGTATTTACTGATTAATATAAATAAGTTCTGAACATGTTCACAAAAAAGGTTTTTTAAAAGGTTATTTATTTATTTAGGCCACACCAATTTGTAATATAGTTCTTCGGATTTTCAAAAAGAAAAAGAGAGGCGAGCGAGCGAAATTATTTTACAAATATTAATTTTTTTATTTCAGTTTTCAAAATTATGAGGCGAGCGAATATAATAAATATTAGTGGCAAAAATTTCTAAGTTCTTCTATAGTACACAGGGGTGTGCAATTGAGGAAAAAATCAAGTACTCTCCCACAGGCTAGTGGCAGCTTTTAAGTTAAAAGCCCCTAGTAAAAAGTTACTAACCCAAACAGAGGGGCAAAAATTAAAATAAATACTAATCTGGAGAAGAAATTAATTGCTGAGAAAGTCAGGCTACTGGGGTCATTCTTTTTAAAATTAAAGTTAAAAGTTCTCACTATCAATATTAATCATGCATAAATTATTATGAAAAAAAAAATAATTTAAATGAAGTATCTTCCCTTTTTCTTGATCATTGCACTAGCTCATTTAGAATAACATCAAATTTATTTTGTTTTCATCTTAAATCAATAAATACACTGGAAATATATTTTAGGTGAGTCACAAAACACTTATCTTTCAGTTCATTGGATAATCGTAAATAATTTAATGAGATATCTGCATGTATTTACCATAAATGGAGGAATAGAGGAAATTCGGATTAGGAAAAAACGATCGTTTTTGGAAGTAATTAAGTCAGATAGAAGTACAAAACAGATAAGATTATGGAGATTTATTGACAATAGGAGCATGTTGTCTGGAAAATTTTTTACTAGTTGGGAATTTTATAACAAATACAAGTGAAAATACCGATTGTTCTTATCATTGTTGCATTGCTTGTGTAGTTATGTTTTTTACTAGCCCGACGGGCTACCTCCTTGTGAAAACAACTAGCCCGATAAAAAAATGGTAGCCCCGGTTGTTTGGATATGCTAATTGCTCACCCCTGGTACATATTCACAGTTACACGGGCGTCTTGCAAAACTTTACAGACTGTTACAAAGTACAAACAAACTAAACATATCCCGCGCTTCTGTCATACAAATTTCCAAGTCTTTTAGTCGAGAAAAAAAAAATTTGTCGGATATTTTCGGACGCGCGCGCGAAATTTATTTTTTTAATATTATAATTTGGATTTGTTAAAAATAGAAGCGGCGAATCCGACGAACTATATTAGAAATTGGTATGGCCTTATTCTGATATGCTTTTCATTTTATTTAATTAAAACGCGGACCTACCGATTGTCGAAAAAACAAACCAACGAGTGTCATTATTGGCGGTAATTATCGGGGGTGATTATAACGGTAATGGACAGATTTGTACCTGAAATACGTTGGCGGATGGCGATAGGCGGGGGATGGCGGTAAAACGGGGTTTTATATAGCGAGGAAATGGGGACTTGACTTTTTTTTGGCGGTAGGCGGGGGTAGCATTATAACGGGGGGAATTATAACGGGGGAGCACTGTAGTTTGAATTTTTTATATAGGTCTATTTTAAAGTATCAGATCAAAATTGCATAAATATTTTCATTTTTGGGATGTACACTTTTTGTTGGTTAATTATGTGACTTTGCCTTACTTAAAGACAACATTCGTTGAGGTGAGCTCTGTAATCTCTGATTACCTATGTTTTTAAAAGCAGTAGCTTTTTGCAAAAAAAATAGGCTTAGACACAATATTGTTCCTGTTACTTGTATTTTTCTGTACATTCTGACTCTATAGCGCACGATGACGATAGTATTTTTCATCAGTTTGACTGCTTTCTATGTTAAAAAACAGACACTTTTCAGAGTTACTTTCTAAAATCTAGAAACATAAAAGATCCATCCCACTGCAAAATTACATAGTTTCAAACTGTAAGTGTAAAAGAATTTTCCTTTCAACAGAAAGAATTTGCTATTTAAAAAGATAAAAAATACTTTCTTATCCTACTTATTGGCATGGTTTCTTTCTGCAGTGTTGTCTATTTTCGCCGGTACATTTCGACAAAACCAAGACGAGTATGGTAAATGTACAAAGTATTTAGAAAAATATTAACCTTTAAGAAGCTAATCTAAAGAAAACAATTAAATAGTTTTAAGGAAAGCGTGTTTTATTCAACTTGTAGATACCTATGGTAGAGTCATATAAGTTGTTACATCATATCAGTTACTGATACATTACCCTTTTAAACAGGCATGTTTAAAACTAAAGATAATTAAGTTTAAGGACATTTATCCCAGACATAATATATAATACAATCCAGAGTTATGTCGCCAAACTGAAGTTTGATAATGTTGATTTTAGTACAAGAGGAATGTGACCTTAATTTGTGTGAAAAACCATGTGAGCTTTCATGGCCCCTGGGTCAGGGGTTTTGATTATATAGTGAATATACATTAATTCTTTGAAAATCTTTTCCTTTGCTCCTGGGTATTATGCCGATGATCTAGGTTTATATATGTCGAAGAAAGGTGCATCTAACAAAATGGTAAAATTTCATGTCCCCTAGGTCAGGGGTACTGTGTGTGTGGGGGAGGGGGGTTACATCAAGTCTGAAAATAAATTAATGCTTTTAAATCTGCTCTTTGGTATTAATCAACCATTTATGATGAAATAAAATTTATGATAAAATTTCCAAAATTTTGGAATATGTAATCCCTGGGTCAGTCGTTCTTGTGGGGTAGGGTGCACAACTGGTTATAAAGTGGAAGTGCATTTTCTCTTTGTTACTCTGAACTACCACTGGGTATTTAGTAACTAGATGCATGCTAAGTGTATAATTATGATAAATAATTGTGCCTCTTTCAAAAGTTAGTCTAAAGACTAGATATTGACCTGGGACCTTATTCACAAAGCCTCCGTAAACTTACTGGACCCGTAAACTTTGCGGAAACAACCCGCAGTCAAAAAATTCTTATTCACGACGTCTCCGTAAATACCGCACCCGCAAACTTTGCGTAAACGTTCCGTAAAAATGGCCGTACGTTACGGGACCATCCGTAAACGTTGCGGAAAGGGCAAAATCCGTATTTACGAGATTGAAATAAATCAATTATACTTTAAAAAAATATAACATTTAAATGAAAACACATAGAAAATAATTAAGTAATAATACAATTGATCAAACTTTCTTCCCGATCAACTTTTCTTTATTATTATCTTCTCTTTTTTGCATATACAGAGTACTCAGTTTTGTGAGTTACATATAAAACGATTGTTACGTAATATTTTACGTCATACCCGTTATTCATTACTACGACTACGAAATGGCGTTCCAAGTCTTATTTCAAAGACTAAACCAGAGAAATTTAAGAAGAGAAAGGGTCTTCAGGGACCGGACACATCCTTTATATATGTACGATGATAAAGACTTGATTATGAGATTCCGCATGCCAAGATATTTTATTTTAGATATCATAGATTTGTTGGCTGATGACTTGGAGCCACCTACTATAAGGTCCAAGAGCATATCTGCTTCTCTTCAAGTTTTGACGGCCATGAGGTACTTTGCCACTGGATCTCTACAACAGGTAGTCGCTGACATTTCATGGGTAAGCCAGCCAACTGTTCCAAGAATTGTCTGCAAAACATCTAGAGCTTTATCAAATAGGACAAGGGAATTCATCAAGTTTCCTGAGAGAATAGCAGAACAGCTTGTAATCAAACAGGGGTTTTCGTGTGAATTTAACATTCCAAATGTATTGGGATGCGTTGATGGAACACTTATCCAAATTAAACCACCATCGGAAAGGGAAGACGCGTATGTATGTAGAAAAGGGTATCACGCAATTAACGTTTAGGGAGTTTGTGATCATAAGAAAAAGCTGACAAACATTGTTGTTCAATGGCCTGGTAGCACACATGACGTATATGTCTGGAATAATTGTTTGCTGAAAGAGTGGTTTGAAAATCAGCCCTATGTTGGCCATCTTTTGGGCGACCAAGCCTACCCGTTGAGGCAATATTTAATCACCCCTCTTAGGGCCCTGAATACGCCAGCTGACAGTGCATTCAATGTTGCGCACAAAAGAGCAAGACAGAGAATTGAAGATACGTTTGGACGATGGAAGAGTCGGTGGCTTTGCATTCACAAATTTGGTTCGTATTATATTTATACGTTAGTTTATAAAAAGCATGAGCTTTTCTAAAAGGCTTGTTTTTCCCAATAAATTAGGTGATATAATAGTTATAACATTTTATGTACAGTAAATGGAAAGTTACTTTGAGATTGAATACTGTTCGTTATCTCCATAACCTTCTTCTTATCTGACGTGAACAAAATTATACTCTAAGAATAAAGAAAATTCATATACATGTAATATTGTAATCAGCATAATTGTAAATATAAAAAGCAATCCATTTCTAATTTCCATTGAGCCCCGACCCTATCCGGGGGGGGGGGGGGGGGGGGGGGGATGTGGTTCAAAATTTGAACAAATTTGAGTCTACACTACCTGGAGGATGTTTCCATATCAATATGTCTTATCATTGCTTTTCTCTGTGAATCCAGATATTGTTAAATAGGATATCCAACGTAAAACAAACAGTAAGACTCATATCTAATCTATTATCTCTCTATCTATTTATCTCACACACCCTACCGAACCCCCAATTAAAGAGTCCCCCCTTCATTTTGCTGTATTTACTATTGATTTTTACCTTTCCAAGTAAAAACGATATAGGCTTTGTACATAGCATAAAATGTCCCTTTAAGAGGCATATCTTAAAGCAATATGAGCTGCATTTTTGAGAATTTTATTTTGTTGGTAAAATGTGTTATTATGATTAATTTGTATGTAATCTAAACCCTCATGATGAATTAAACCAGAATAAAGTTTAAAAATGTTTCAGAAGAAATATTTCTGTACAACTGAATATACAGTATTATATAAGAAACCATTATTGTAGGGACAACAATAATTCAATTTTGCTTCAATCAAAGCGTATTGAAATTTCTTTCATAGCAAATATGAACAAGAGAAGTTTATAAATGTTCTATTTTTCTGTCATTGAAATAGTTAATTACAAATTTGCAACATTTTTTTCCGATGTCAGCTCATATTGCTTTAAGTAATACAGTGTACATCAAGTTCAAATACGTGTCTTAAATAACTTGTAAAGTTCAGACAAAATTTTTAACGCGTTAGTTTAACAGTCATTATGATTTGAATCTGAAATGTACTTTACAAAAAGAGTGAGAAATGAAATTCTAATTGGTAAAAAAAAAATCCCAGTTAATTTTTATTAATTGTATGCATTAAATGATATACAAGACCTTTTTAATAAATTTTAAAAATCCAATGTACCGCATACTGTATATCGCGTTATGAAATATAATGACTCAAATATTGTATGAATCAAATGGCGTATCGAAATATTTTGGTCAATACGCTTCCTGAATGATAATTTACAAAAAATGTAGAAGATATATTCGTAGTATATATATACTCAACAAAAAAAAGAAACGCATATTCAGATTAATATGAAAATCTAAGTTTTAAATTTAAACCTTATTTTATTTAAGTAAACTTAGAGTGTGTTGTGATAAAAATCAAATATGTCCTATGTTGCAAATTGAAAAGACATGATGATGTCATTTTCATAACCCCCAAATTCAAGGGGCATAACAATATGTATTATTATACTTTCATGTTAAATAATTCTCATTACGTCAGTTGCACGTTTGAAAGAACCGGAATAAACTTGATGTAAATAAAAGCTTGCGTCTGATGTAGCTTACTTAAAAACAACAAAAGACAGACGAAACATGCTTGCGAGTGCTAGATAACGAAACTTTAAATGATAAAAGACTCTTAGAGTATCAAATAAACAATAAAGAGGTTAGTAAATCCTTTTCGAAGAAGCGGGGAGTTTGAAAGCTTTCTATAAACGTGAACATAAAGACAATCGACGATTTTTTTGCAGATATCTTTTAATCAAAAATGACATTCAGTATAATAAAATAAATGGTGCCTGTTTTGGAGGGTAACAGTTGAAATTGACACCCCTCGGAAAACCATTGTCAACCTCCGCTGACGCGTCGGTTGACAATGGTTTTCCTTGGGGTGTCAATTTCAACTGTTATCCTCCAAAACAGGCACCATTTATATACTGTGCGACGTTTCAACGCTGGTGGGTTTCCAATGTACGGATGTCGTGGACGAATACCATCTCCTCTCAGTCGCTTGTGAACAATTTGTGCACTTTAATACTGATTTCTTCAACCGGCAATGAAAATAGACCCCTGATTTACAAGAAATGATATAATATATATCGATACTTGTATATTTCTATTCAATCACATTCTTCTTGGTCTTAAATAATTTAAAAATAATACTTTGACAATGATACCAGTAAACCACACTTTATTTTTTTCCGTAGTGATGACCTCGATAATTTGTTATGGGTAAATAGATTTATTCCTCTCTATTAGAATGTATTTCCTAAATGAAATAAAACTACAAATGACTTTAAAGTCTAACAGTTAACTCATTACCAAGCTTATGTACCGGTATTACACATGTGTGTACTATTCATAAAAGCAGAGCTAAAGAGTTCATATTCATCAGAACCTCCAACTGTAGCACTGGAGACTGACATGGATAAAACTGACTCTCCTGGTAGCTTCAGAAACGCTCTTCTTCCATTGCAAGACGACGGCGTTCTATATTCAGTCGCTCCTTTTCCATTCGTAACCTTTCCTTATCCACCTCGAGAGATTCTCTCTGAATCTGCAGGATTTCTCCTTGTAAGGTTAAACTAAAACGAAATAATAACTCAATCATAATTTAGTACAGGAATTACACGTGGGAATACTGTAGACGTACTTTTTTCCACGGAGTCATAATTTCTCTTTAATCCGCGGGTAGAAAATTACGCGGATTTCTTAGACTGTCACTATATGCCTTATATTTATGTTAAGTACGCTTGGACAAATTTCTGTGGAAAGTTTGTGACCGCGTACATAGCGTAAATTAATACCACGCGGAAAAAAGTACTTCTACAGTATTTTCATAACGGGCGAAGAATTACTTGAAATCTATGTTTAAGCCGAATGCAGTGGCCATTTTTGCCGACCTCTGGAACATCAATTTTATTTTTTATTTTATCTGAACTTTACAAGTTATTTAAGACACGTATGAGAGGGCTTATATAGGCTATGCCTGCTGCCCAATCCATTTATGTATTTTACATAATAAAATATGTTCAAATCAAATCAAATCAATTTTATTTTGTATTTGAAACTTATTATATACTTCTTTTACACTCTTGTGATTTGATATCTTTGTGGTACTCTTATATTTTCGCGGAACATTAACTGATTGATAAGGTTGGAAATATACAGCTTACGTCATCTCTATCTGTAACAGACAAAACATTCAATGTTAGACAGTGAAATGGGCGGGTATACAATTCGACGCGGACGTGGGGAAAACATCTGATTTAAATTGCAGATTGAAAATCATTTTCAATCCACCTTAGCTGTTTTCAAAGCAATAGTGAATGTTTGATCAAAAAATCAACTAATTTTAACTCCCAAATAGGCCGACATATTGTTTGAAGTTCACTTTAATAGGAGTTTTAGCTTGTACTCTTAAGGACGTGAAAGGTCATAGAAGACAAAGATTATTTTTCAGGAGATATTAGATTCTAGGAGGGAGTGTAAAAATTGTCGAGTCAGATAGCTTTGTACTAATTAATTTTTAGGATGACAAGAGCTTTTTTAGTTTTGTCCTTAATGATTTTTTTTTTTGACAACTCTTATTTTTTCCCAAGATCATTAAGCCCCCCCCCCCCTCCCTCGCACACTTACATATTGAATTATACAAAACAGAAATCAAATATTTGTCCCATCAAACATTTGTTTGAAACAATGGACAGAAAATTCTGATTTATATAATATAAATTCTCTTCAAACTATACCAAAATTCGAACTAGTGCTAATTGTAACGGGGACCGTTACAGATGTTCCCCAAACGCTCCCCAACTCCCTTTTGGTGCCATATTCCCTGTAAGCTTCAATAAATAAGACAAACTCTATGCATTTGGGACTTTTACAACGTTTACCAAGAAGTGTACCAAGTTCATTCAAATTTTAGCATTGCACGTGTGCGCATGTGAATGCATGTGCATAATGACCATATCATCTTGTCTACACAATCTATATATTTTAATATACTAAATATTAAAGTATTTAATCCAAAAGTATAAAAAAAAAATACGCTCATTCAAATGTATTTTTGATTTTAATCATTTCACGTAAACGTACGTGCATACATGAGCATGGTGCCCATACCCTCTTTAAGAAGTCCATTACATCTATCTATGTTCTAAATCTCACCCCGTTTGGTTGAAAACCAAGGGAGTTATAGCTGTTTAAAGTTTAAGCCAATCAGATTGCAGCGCACGTACACGAACGTGTATCCATGCGCATGGTGACCATACCTTCTTGTGGAAGTTTATGTCTATCTATGTTCCCAATCCCATCCTGTTTGGTTGAAAACCAAGGGAGTTATAGCTATTTAAAGGTTAAGCCAATCAGATTGCAGCGCACGTGCATGCACGTGTTTTCATGATAATTGCTATACATTGTGTTGTAGGATATCCTAACACATGGCTATGTTCAAAATTTCAAAGGATTTTGTCAAAAAACAAGAAAGATATTTAGACTTTAGTTTCAGCCAATCAGAGCAAAGCGCACGTGCATGCGCGTGAGATCTTGCTATTTTGACCATGTCATATTATTGTCTCTGCTACTAATATAACCTTATATTATAAATTTCAAAGCATTTCATCAAAAAATAGAAAAGTTACTAATATATCAATTAAATCGGTCATTTCACGTGTTGCACGTGCACGCTCTTGCAAGCACGTGCGCGCAAAATGACCTTCATTCCCCAAATCTGCATAACATGCCTACTGACCCTAAAAAGGTTTTACCAAAGTCGGATGTATAGTTTACAAGATCACTCCCGGACAAAAAAGTACCCAGGAAGAAGAAGAAAAATAATAATAACTAGATACGATCTCGTTGCAAGCAACGAGTAGGTCTTCCGTTGAATTTCTCGATAAGATGAGATGTGATTTTGACTGAGATATTTTAAAAAAGAGAATGACATTGAGTTTTCCTTCATTAAATTTAAAGTTTCTGATTTATATCACAATATCTTGAACATCTTTTGTTAAATATGGCTTATTAAAATACCCCCCCCCCCCCCCCCTTTTTCGAGATGTAAAGCATCCAATATATATAGCATTTTGGCCCCTTGCGACTCCTTATTGCGTAACATATGATCAAAATTTTATAACGCATTGTTGCAAATCGTTAAGATGAAAAGTTTTGCCTCTGTAATGTATAACAAGATATTGTTCATTAAAGAGTTCAATTTTGACCATCTTTTGTTCAGCATTGCTTATCAAAATATTCCCCCTTTTTAAGATATAAAGCGTCAAAGATTTGACATTCTGGCCCCTTGTGACCCCTAATTACGTAACATATGATCAAAATTTATAATATGTTGTTGCAAATCGTTAAGATGAATACTTTTGCTTCAGTAATGTTTAACAAAATATTGATCATTAGAGAGTTATAGATAAAAGACATTGGCTCCTCTGAGTCCCTAATTTGAGGGGCTAGCCCCTTTCTCCTGATATCAAATGAAAAGTCTCATGATTTTAAAGATTTTTTGTTCAACACTAATTCAGAGATTTCTTTTCGTTGTGGAGATAAGCTAAATGGAAATATTTAGGGGCCATCGCTTTCAGTCCTTAATGGGGCCGTTTTACAAAAATTCAAAGTATGCATATTGTTTAGAACATTATTTTGACTATCTTTTGTTCAATATTGCTTATCAAAATATTCCCCGTTTTTTGAGATATAAAGCGTCAAAGATTTGACATTCTGGCCCCTTGTGACCCCTAATTACGTAACATATGATCAAAATTTTATAATATGCTATTGCAAATCGTTAAGATGAATACTTTTGCTTCAGTAATGTTTAACAAAATATTGATCATTAGAGAGTTATAGATAAAAGACTTTTGGCCCCTCTGAGTCCCTAATTTGAGGGGCTAGCCCCTTTTTCTTAATATTTACATGAAAGTTCTTAACATTTTGCACATTTTTTCTTCAATATGCTTTTACAAATTTTGAACAGGTACGAAGATATGAAACAAAATGTGTCAAATTTTGTGAGATGTTTCTGAGACATTTTTTGGGCCCTACCGAGCTCTGGCGCTTTTTGTGCTAGAAAGATATAGACACCCAATTGCAACTCAGCAAACCCTCCTGTTTACTCACTAAAAATCTTAGGTCAATATCTTAAGTCGTTTTGGAGGAGTTTCCCGGACAAGCCGACCCTTTTAAAATCAGAAAATCGTCCATATCTCACGACCGGAAGTGACGACGTACATATAAAAAATTTCCAATAAGGTTCAGATCAATAACTACCAGATCTGAAAGTTTCATGAGAATCGACCAAGCCGTTTCCGAGAACTCGCGTGCACAAAATCGGTTGGAATAATAAAAGGGAAAAAGAAACCGAACGAAAACAATAAGGTCTTCCGTTGGAAACGGAAGACCTTAACTAGACGAGATCTCGTTGCGAGCAACGAGTAGGTCTTCCGTCTGATTTTTCAATAAGATGAGATATGATTTTGACTATGATCTTTAATACAAAATAATGATATATGTATCAAGACTTTTCTCCCTTGATTAAATTGTTTCGATTTATTCAACAATCTCAAATACTTGAACCCAGGTCGCCAACGTGAATGAGCTTTTTTTTCTCTTTTATCCCCAACGCGCAAACCATTAAGCTATTGGGAGTGCTGCTCTAAATATACTTGTGTATACTTTTGCAATAGTAGACCTGTCTAAGAATCATAAAAGGCAAGCCACTATTCATAATTTCGCGCCAAACACCAAGAGTAAATATTCGCGCCTTTTCTATGCACTGATCTATAAATACGTGTGATAGCTTCAATGAAATTAAATAAATAAAACGTTATTATCACCTTTATCCTATTTCGAGGATAAGAAAGTATATTTAACACAATGTACACATTACATATCATATCTAGCCCAGCTCGCCAACGTGAATGCGCTTTTTTATCTCTTTTATCCCCAACACGCAAACCATTAAGTTATTGGGAGTGCTGCTCTAAATATACCTGTGTATACTTTTGCAACAGTACACCTGTCTACGAATCAGAAAAAGTGGGGCTCTTTTCATAATTTTGCTCCAAACGCCACGAGTAAATATTTGCGCCTTTTCTTTGGACTGATCTATTAAATAGGTTTTTAGCTTCAATGAAATTAAATTAATAAAACGTTCTTATTGCCTTTATTTTATTTCAACGTTAAGAAAGTATATTTAACACATTGTACTCATTACATATTGTACACAGCCCAGTTACACTAGAGCAGTGAAACGGAAATTAAGTTTTAAGATTGACATTGAATTGCAACGTACTACTACGTGAAAGTCCAAGTAGTTTTTCACATTTAATGTATCCTTATTTTAGAGTGGTTTAATCAAACGCTCAGCTGCCCCCATAAACCCCTACTCGCGAAATGGCGGAGTTGACAGAGACAGCCGCCATCTTGGGCCCGCTTCAGATTTTCAAATATTAATATCTAGAGTTCAGATTAACCAATATTCAAACAACTTATAAAGTAAACATCAATAGAAGGGTCTCTATTAACATTCCAAAAATAACTGAAAAATATTGAAAAACAAAAAAGTTAGAAAATACGC